AATGATTAACCACGCTGGTTAATTCTAAACTAAACCAGAGTTACAAAATTATTATAAGAAAAAAAAAATAAAAAAAAATCAATGTCCACATCCAACACACCCACCACCGCCCATATCATTACTCTTTATACCCACTCTAGGTTTCAATTATTATTATAATTACAAATTTGGGTAATTTGTTTTAGCAGTGTGGAATTAAAGCAACTTATTAGGGGAAAAAAAGGCTACCATTTTGGTTTGCTTTCTGTTTGTTTCCCGGGAAAAAGAGAGGAAAGGAAAAAGAAGACAGTGGTGGCTGTTTCTTTTTTCTTCTTTTTTAACCTTTTTTTTGTGTTTTTTTGATTTACTAGGTTTTTTGTATGAATGGTGTTGTAAAAAGGTTAAAAAAGTTGTTTTCTTTTGCCTTTTTCTTGGAATATGTTTTGGACTTTTTTGAGTTTCTAGCTCCAAGTAGTTGAAAGAACATTATGGTTAAGAAAATAATTCTTCTTTTTTCTTTTTCTTTTTTTGTTATATTGATACCGAGATGAAATTTGATGTGGAGATCGATATTTTGGGAAAAATTACAAATGTTATGGGTGTTCAAAAAACCCAATGACTTGAGAATCCGATAAATTCAATTCAATTCGTTCAATTTAGGTTGAGTTATTAACTTGTTTGCATTAGGTTGTTTTTAGCATGTTTATCGAAAAAATAGTTTGGGTTGAACCGAAGCAATTGAAACTTATTGTTGAGTTTTGAAATGTATCCTTTGATAAAATTATAGGAAAAAGTCCATTTTTACCTTCAATTTAGTAAGTTGTACCGATTTATATCCTACTTTCAATTTCTATCACATTATACATTAAACTTTGATGCACTACAATAAAAACTCTGCCATTGCAAAAAATCGTTGCCATAAACACAAAAAGGGTAGGGAAAAATCGTTAGTGCAGACCCATCGGTATAAATATTTGCCTAACGAAACTTTTTATCGCCTGCATAAAATATCTATACTGACACATTTTACTACCATCAATCGAGACTACTATATTCGCTTGAAAATTTGCTGGCATAAACTTTAGGGAAAAATATATTTTTTGTTCCTGAGGTTTGAGTCAAGTGTCTATTTGATCCTTGAAATTTCAAAATGGCTACTGTTGATCCCTAAAGTTTGTAGTAGGTGTTTCTTTGGTCCATCAAGTTTCAAAATTGATATTTTTGGTCATTGAAGTTCTAGAAATTGTTTTAAATGGTCCTTTCACCGTTAGTTGGCTGTTAATTGACTGTCAATAGTTTTCTCTCTCCCTCTCCCTTCTCTCTCTCCCATCTCCGGCTAGCCTCCACTGCCAACCAACTGTCCAGTGTAACTTCCCTTTCCTCATTGCACCATCGCTACACTATTGTTGTCGTCGTGCCATCGTCGTATTTTCTTCTTTGTAGTTGTCGACGAGAGGCTTGGAACGAAGGAGAGATGGAGACTTCTCCCCATTTGCAGTCACTGGTTGGAGGAGGAAGTCTCTCTCTCCCTCGTTCCAGATATGGAACGAAGGAGAGAGAGAGACCTCTACTCCTTTCTAGTTGCCGGTGGTAAGAGGAGGAGAGAGGGAGACCTCCACCCCTCACAGTCGCCAGCGAGAGGAGGAGGTCTACCTCCTTCCCTCGTTCCAGATCTGAAACGAAGGAGAGAGGGAAACATCTGCCCCTTCGCAGTCGTTGGTGGGAGGAGGAGGTCTCCCTCTCTCCCTCGTTTCAGCAGTCATGAGAAATGAAGAAAATGCAGCGACGATGACGGTGGGTGGTGGGTTGGCGGTGGTGGTAGGTGGCTAGAAATAAGAGAGAAAGTGAGGAGGAAGAGTGAGAAAATTACACATGGTCAACTAACGGTCAAATGACCATTTAGAATAATTTCTCAAAGCTCAAGGACAAAAAATGTACATTTTGAAATTTAAGGGACCAAATAGACACTTATTATAAACCTTAGGGATCAAAAAGTGTTTATTTTGAAACTTCAAGGACCAAATAGACACTTGGTTCAAATCTCAGGGACAAAAAGTATATTTTTTCCTAAACTTTATGTCGACGCTACGTGCTATGTCAGTAGAAGTAGTATCTCCAAATGATAGTAAAATGTGTCCGCATAAATACTCTATGCCGACGTATTTCGTAGCTTTATTGAATCAAAGAAAATTATTTCAAAAGGCAACCATTCTAACAAAGACCACCAATATTTTGAAACAATCGAAGAAAAAAATCAATTTTTACTCGAACTTCACAGTGAGTATCAATTGTTGTCCTTAAACTTTCAATTTAATCAAACTGCATCTTCAATTTTTTTTATATACAATAATTACGTTAAATTCATAGAGTGTTGGAATTTTTATTTTCGAATAAATTTTCATTTGAAGAATTATTCAAAAAACTAAAAAAGTATTCTCATATTTGCATTCAATGATCTATAAAACATATGTATTCTACAAAATTGATAAAAATTTTAGAAGAAAAAAATGACATGAAGAGCTGTCTTGTTGAAAAATTTGGTTGGTAAGTTTTGACAAAGTTTGTGCATTAATCAAACTTAAAACAGTCAATTTTTTGTATCCATCAAATTTAATTTGTGCAGAGCTTAATTTTATCGAAATTAGTGAAGTTGTTAATATATATATATATATATATATATTTTTTTTTTTTTTGTTAGAATTATTCAATGAATTAGTAAAAAAATCGAACATGGTAAAAACTTGCAACTAGATAAATAGGCCTCGGATCCAATTCGATAAACTCTCCGAAACTTGAGAGTTTACGGTAAAAATTGATAAATCGGATACACTTGATTTTTTTTCCCTAAACTCTTGTCATGGTTGTGGATTATTCTATTTTAAAAAATATTATTCAAAAATATTCTTTTTTTTTCATTAATTTGAAAAGGTTTTTTTGGTAAAAAGAATTACATATCATTCTTAAACCGAGGGTGATAAATTTCTTTTCAGTACAACATAAGTTAGGTGCGAGATTTGAATCTCCAACTTCAAGAAAATAAATTATATATGTCCGTTTAGCTATGCTCTTGTAATTAAAAAAAAAATTCAATAGATTATGTGTTGTAAAAGATGTCTATTTTAAGAGTTATTAACATATTGTCTCCATTCTCCACATGTTGCTTTCCCAATAGAGGATAATCTCTCTCAATCCTGTTTTCTTCTTCCACACGAAACACCTACGAGTTTTAGTGGATAACATATCGTCTCCATCCTCCACATGTTGCTTTTACCAGCACTCTTCGTTAGAAATAGCATGGGCTATCAATATTTTTTTTTAGTACAAACAGCTATTTGGGAGGTGATTTGAACTCATAACCTCTTTATTGAAGATATATGTCAATTACATATTTAGCTAGGAACAATAAATAGTCAATAAAAAAAATTTTTCTTTATTAAAAGTGGAAATAAGAAACATGTACGACAGACATACCTCAACTAGTTACTTATTCAAAATCAAGATATTGGAATTTCTACCCTGTTGTACTGTTAAAATTAACAAACAAGGCTTAGGTGAATCATTTTTAAAATCACGAGAACTAAATTGAAATTTACTGAGGATAAAACTTGTAATTTAACATAGACGTAGTTGATTCAGAAATCATACAGAGCGACAAGATAAGGCGGGGCAAAAGCAGAGAAGTTGGGAAGTTTTGGAAGAAACAGAGAGAAAAATGAAAAGGGAGAGATGAGTCTCGCTCTGGCGGTGGCGCTTTCAGTTTCTCCATCGGCGACTCCCGGAGCTTGCGGCGGAGGAAGAAGAAGAGTGAACGCCGCCGCGATGTCGTCGGCGAGCATGAGCAGTGGCCGGCCGTCGAAACTGATGGAGTTTCCGCATCTGACGGCTCCGCACAGAGATCTGATGGTGGATCTGATCCAGGCCGTCGAAGATAGGCTGGAGGATCATCTTCTTCCTTCTGCGGTTCCTCCCGATGTTGAATTTTACCAGAATCCGAGCGGCACTTCGCAGGGCACGCTTCTCTTCCGATCTGGTTCTCCAATTTCTCCTGTAATCTCTCTCTCTCTCTCAAATTAAACCTCAATTAACTTTCAATTTCATCCAATTGAACCCTAGCTTTTAAATAACTGTTCGCAGTTGAGTATAAATCCTTTTTAAACTCACTAATTTCAAGCATCAGGCATCCAATTAGAGATTGAATAATCTTATAAAACTGACAAAGTCGTAATTATCATATATCTCCATCTATTAGTTAAATGCGTAGGGAAATATTTTATTGATGATATGAATTTTCAAGTGAAAATTTATTAAAGAGTAATCACTGCAATATTTATTCAAATTTAAGTCAAAAGATTGCTGCACTTAAATCAATTTGATATTTTCCCTCATCTTTTTTAAACAACGGAACTTTTGGTCATTGTTTCGGATATAATTTGGTTAATGAATCCATTTTTGTTGCAATTTCCTTTTGTGTTCATGTGAATATATATAGTTGAATTGGTTAAGTTATATATTTTCAATCAAATAGTGGGAGGTTCGAATTCTCTCCCTCACGTAGATGAATTGGAAAACTGCATCTCTGTAATGTAATGTAATGCAATGTCAATCTTTCATATGGTATCTGACGAGATTAGAATTGAACCTAACCATTGAGCTGAGCGGAGAGTTGTTTAACCATCGAGCTAAGTGTATAAAGAAAATTGATATCCGCCTTCGAGCGGTAAAGGGTCAATACGGCGATTCGAAAAAAATACGGCAAAACCAAAATAAAAAAGTACTGAATTTAGGATATTTGATTTGGTTTGTATTGGAATTTTCAGATTGATTTCATGATAGCAAGTTGGCTACACTTAAAGCAACCTCAGGGCGGCGCGTTCAACATAACCAACATCGCCGGCTACCTGAAAACCACAAACGACATCCCTCATTTCCAGTTCGAGCTGGTGCAATGCAGCCCCAATTTCGTGATCTTCTTCCTCGACTTGATCCCACGAATCGACATCACCCTCCGCCCGGACTACCTCGCTGCCTACTACGAGAACACCGGCCTCGAGCAGCACCGCCAGCGCCTCGCTGCCGTCCCAGAAGTAAGCCCCTACTTCTCGTCGTCGCTCTACTTCCGAAAAGTCGTTTCGCCGACGGGAATTCTGGTGAGTGTGAAGTGCGAGTCGGGGCAGCGCGTGGACGAGATCGTCCGGGATCAGATCGGGCCGATCTCGAAGGAGGTTTTGAGGACATGGATGGAGCTGTGCCTGAATGGAGGAGGAGGAAGAGAGATTGCAGAAGATGAAAAGATTTTGTTGGAGAAGAGAGACCTTATGATTAAGAAGAAGGCAATAGAGATGGATTTGAGCAAAACAATGCCGTTGCAATTTGGAGAAGAAGTTGCACACAGAGTTCTTCAAGTTATTAGAACTGCTTTCAACACAGCTGCTTGATGATATATATAGTTTTCTACAAGTGCTTTTTCTTAGTTTAGATGTTTATATTTCCATTGCAACAACTTTTTTTTAGCCTTGATGTGATCAATATAAAGAACTAGTGGGACTTTTAGTATATCAAATTATGGGGATAAAATGATGATTAATTCACATAACTATAACTAAGAATTATTCTTTTCCTTTTTTTTATGAGTACAACAAGTAAGAGTTGAGAATCCAAACTCATGGTTGTTTTTGGTAAGAAACTGGTACCAAATCGACTAAGCTTTGTATTTTTAATTCTTAATCTACTAATTATCTATTGTTAATGTTGTTACTTTAAATCTTAAAAATAGTGAAGCATTGGATTGAAGTGATAAAATTTGACTTAAAAAAAGTGTTAAGTCAACTAGAATATAAAATTAGGCCATGAAATTTGAAACAGCATAAAAAAGTTAATTATCTTTTTTAACTAAAGAATAATAAAAAATTCGTAAAAACTACTTAAATTGACAAATAAGTATTTTATCGTATCTATTGTTTAAAATAATTGATATTAATATTATATCTATGTTAATAAGATTTTGTTGATATTTTTAATATTTTAGCATGAAATGTGGATTTAGTTGAACCCATAATTACATAAAACTTCGGGTCGATATATCAATATGTCGATGAATATTTAATACAAAGATTTAATCCGGTAATATTTCCTCGTCTGTGGTGGGGCCCGAAGAAAGCAGAGTTTGCAGAGATATTTTCGCTATCCCCTAATCTAAAGATTCTAATGGCGTTGGCGTTGGTGAAGGTTTATCCATCCGCGAAACCCTTCCGTCTTCCGCCGGCGGTGGAATCGCGATTCGGAGCAAGGAAACCGGCGATAACAGTACGGAACGCGGCGTCGAACACGGCGGAGATGGAGAATCGGCCGCCGAAGCTGAAGGAATTTCCGCATCTGTCTGGTTCGCACAGAGTTCTGATGGCCGATCTGGTCGCCGCCATTGAAGATCGATTCGAGGATCGTCTTCTTCCCTGCGCGCTTCCTCCCGATGTCGAGTTCTACCAGAATCAAAGGGGCACTTCGCAAGGCGCACTTCTCCTTCGATCTGGCTCGCCACAATCTTCGGTATCTCTCTCTCTCTCTCTTCGATGATTTAGGTTTTCCAATTGCTTTCCAGTTCTGATGGAAATCGCCATTGAATTGGTTCTCAGATCGGCTTCCGATTTTTCTTTCATCATTTGGAGGTTCTTGGTTTGAAATTGCTTGGTTAAATTACGGATTTTGCCTATTTAAATTCTTAATTTTGAAAAATTATATAATATGTATGTTCAAATCTGTTCCACACTTTTTTTAAACTTCATTTGTGTTAAAAGTACAAAATTAAAGAAAGAAAAATTAGGGATCTATTAGAAAGCTTTTTAAAGCTTAAATTGAAAATATAAGATTTATTGGATACTTTTATAAGATTTAAAATTTTATTAATTATAAATCTAAATGTTTAGGATTAAATTTGTAATTTTTTTTTTCTTCTTCTTCCATGTTGTGAACGACGAGGATAATTTTGGATAGAAATAGAATAAAAGAATGATTGAGGATTGAATTAGGAATTATGAATGATTTTATTTATTTAATAAAATTAAGGATAAATTAGTGTTCAACTTTTTAGTTCAACAAACGTGGTGTGGAGAACTAAATTAACATGATTGTATTTAGTTCTTCAATTCAAAAAATTCCAATTAAGTCTTTTGAACTTCTATTAATTTACGCGTAGCTAAATGGTGCATAAGACACTATTTCAAAGGTCAACGATTAGATTCTTCACTCTGAAAGTATTGAATTTTTGTCAACTTATTATTGGATTCTAACACGTTCGTTCACTAATATATTATAGGTTAAAAATACTTGTTTGATAGGTTAAAAATACTTGTTTGGTTTCGGTACTTTCAGTAGTAAATGTTCATTTTAGTTACTACAATTTTAAAAAGTGACAATTTTGGTCTTTTAATTTTATTTTTAATCTTTTTTTTTTCTATCATAATTTCAACACGATCTTATAATCAATATATTTCTTAAAATGTAAACATTACTTTATATTGTAGAATTTTAATTACGTGTAAAATTTGTATTAAAATTTTACAATTAAGGACTAAAAAGAATCATTTTTCAAAAATACCTTAACCAAGTGAATATTTTTAAATTACAAGTTAAAAATATTGAGACTAAGAATACTATTTTAAACTATAATTTAACAACTGGAAAGGGCCAAAAAGATTTGGCAGGTATATCAAAAATTTCAATTTTCCCTCTACCATGTTATAAGTTAAAACTCTTACCACAATTTTACCAAAAAAAAAAAAAAAAATTAATTAATTAATGGAGAGATGTGCCAAATTTGAAATTATTAAAGATTCAAATTTAAACTCTTTATAATTTAAATATAAATTTACGTAAATAGTATAAAATAAATACGTATTTTTAATTATAGAAATTATAAAAACTAGTACAATCTAAATGAAACTAAATTCTAATGTAATATAAAATGAAACATAACTAAAAAAAAAAAATACACACTGCTATCGAATGAAATTTCTCTGATAAAATTTATAAACTTTTGTTTCAGATTAATTTCATATTGGGGAGCTGGTTGCACAGCCAGCTACCAACAGGAGCAGCTTTAAACATAGCAAGCCTTTCTGCCTACTTGAGGCCTTCAACTGATGCTCCAAACTTCCTCTTAGAGTTCATCCAAAGGTCTCCAACCTCCCTCATTCTCATCCTCGATCTCCCTCCCCGAAAGGATCCCGTGCTCAATCCCGACTACCTCCAATCGTTCTACGAGGACACGAGACTAGACACTTACCGAAAGACGCTCGAAGAACTCCCCGAGTTTCGCCCCTATGTCATGTCCTCTCTTTACTTCCGCTGCCTGGTCTCTCCAACCTCCATAATTGCCCGCATCGAAACGGAGTCGGGTGGACCCGAACGCATGGAGGAGATCATAAAGGACCACGTCGGTCCCGTCGCGAGGGACGTGCTTCGAATTTGGATGGATGAATGTGCTTGCAAGAGGAGAGAGGTTGGAGAGGTTGAAAGAGGTGAAATTGAGAGAAGGGATGAGTTGGTTAAGAAGAAGACTATTGATATAGACTTGGGGTCTAGTTTGCCAAGATTGTTTGGGCAAGAAATAGCTGATAGAGTAGTGGTAGCTATCCAACAAGTTTTTGAAGCATGAACTGGTCCGATGATGATGACTCTCAAACTTTTAATTTGATCAATCATCCCTCCTAAATTTTTATGAAGTATTGCAATTAAATCTCTAGATATTGCAAAAATGCACGAACTGTCAACTAGAATATCGTTCCGATAAAATTTACAAAATTGAGATGTTTGCTTAGCATCAATCTACAAACTAAATTTTTTGTGGTTAGTGTTATAGTTTTCAAATTTTGTAGAATTGAATAGAAAGAATGTTAAATTGTAATGATCATATGGTTCGAGAGTTTGATTGTGATAATATTTATTGTTTAAGTGTGGTTTGTGCATTTTACAATATTTAATATTTTCGTTGCAGCAATTTTGTAAAGTTAGGGGAGTGATTAATGAAATTGAAATTTCGAGGATTTTATTGCTACAATTAAACTATATTTTAAGGGTGATTTTTGCAATTTTCACAAAGTTTTGTTACTGCTTTTATACATTGACTAAAGTTTACCAAAAAATCCTTGTTGATAGTGATGGGAATAACAAGAATCCGACATGATAAAGTTATTTGTAAATGTAGCAAATGAGCTTTATAATATGACCACATTCTAATGATCCGAGAGTTTCGTGAGTCAAATGAGTTGAAAAGTATCAACTTGGAGTGTAGCGTCGGAGTAGAGAGGAGTGGTACATGGATAAATCGATACCACATCTAAATGATAGGGATTTTGACATCATGGAAGTATAATTAAGAAAGATTTAAAAGAATTGATAGTTACTACCTACATTAACAAAGCGCACATTCCTTGTTGATGRCTCGATCATAAGAATTTTAAAGTTAAGCATATTTAACTTGAAGCAATTTTGCATCGGATGTCCACATAATTAGTTGGTTTAAATTCTTACACCTAAGGTTACTTAGAATAGAGTAGAATCATAGTATCATTTGGATTCGACCCAATTAGGTCCATTCCCTTTAAACTTCAACTTTATTATTGGACTCCATAAAATGACATTATTGTTACCGACTTTGGCGTATTACCAACACTCCAACAATAACGCAAATTTTGATGCTTCCAGAAAAGAAAAAAGAGAAGTGCAAAGTTTGGTTTTTGTTCAACCATTGGTTGGAATAATCTCAAATCCAGATAGATTTTTTTTGAAAAATAATAAAAGAAAATAAAAAAATTCATATCAAACATTAAATTCACAGATAAGTATTTCACCATTTTTAAATAAGTAAAAAATTATTAATAATAATATTACGTCCATATTGTTGCTATTTTGTCAATATCTTTTGTAAAGCTATGGAAATGTTAATGTCGAACCATGAACATGTAGAATGTCGATGGAAATATCAACATGTTAAAAAAAAAATTAATACCTTAGACCGCAGAAACCTATAATATATATACTTTGAACTATAAATATTCTGTAAATGGAAAAAAAGGAACACATTTAGTTTGAAGGGAGAAAAATCTGGAAATGAAATGGAGAAGTAGGGAGAAAAGTGAGGATGTTGTAAAAAGTTTGGAATAAAAATGATAGAAGATGAAAAAATGAAAGAAAATAAAAATAAAAATCTCACCTTAAAATCTAAACAAAATAGGAGAGAGAAGGTAATTTAAGAGTGTGTTTTACTTTCGGGTCTACTTATTTATATATTTTATTTACATAATAATACCACCAATAGATTATATATGAACATAAATTCAATAGAAGTGTTGTGAAAATTTTCTAAAATTTTCACTTCAAGAGATGAACTATTGCTGAAGTAGATTTAGTCGCCTAGTGACCGATAAATTTCTATAGTTTTATTTTTATAATAAGTTTCAAATTAAAATTATTTTCAAAATAAGTTTAAATATTAGTGATATTAAGAAAATACAAATATTGATATCCAAACATAAATATTTATTAGTTTTAGACATTTAAATACTAAACATTTAACTTTGATATATTTTATATATGATATCCACAATTGTAAATAAGGAAAAACTTCCAGAGAAAAATGAAAACCCGAAAATATATATATATAYAAACAATTACTTGACCAAGTGCCTTCCTTAGTATAGAGACATGGAGTAAGGAATATTAAGGATTTCTGAAAGTACGAGCCTTTATAGAAGCTATATCCTCAAATCAACAAGTTTGTGGAGAGGGAGGACATGATTATTTGGACTTCCACGACGTTGGAGTTATTTTCTATCTTAAATGCTTGGAATGGTCTTCGCTCTACACGGTATCGAGGGACTTTGGCATCATGTGATTTGGTCTTTTAGTCGTATCGCTAAACATTTTTTTCTTGAGCTGATTGACTATTCGTGATCGTCTATCTATCGACTCATAATCCTATTCGTTTTTGGTGTTCTTCTAGTTCAGGTTATCGTGTCCTTATTCTGATGGGATTGAAACTCGAGACCATCTTTTCCTTGATTGTATTTTTAGCAATTTTGTATGAGGTGGTATGATTGCTTCGACAGGCTCTTCACATCGTATTTGCCCATGAAGTATAGAGTTGGAGTGGATCCGTCGTATTATTAGAGGTCGGTCACATAGATGTAAATTATGGAGGCTTGTTTGGGCTACATCTATATATCATATTTGGAGAGAACGTAATTCCAGAATCCATGAGGTGTCTATCGCCTGACTTTGGTTATATTACATATTGTTCAGAGTGATGTTTATGCTCATGCTTTTACTTGACGTGATGTTCATTCTCGAGGCCGAAGTTTGATGTAGTCTACTTGGGAGTTATTTTCATGACTATTTTATCTTTTTACTTGGGTAGTTTGTTGCTTTTGTTTGTATTTTTGGCTTTTTTTTCTTGGTTTTGTGTGGTTGGTTTTCTTGTTCGATTTTTCTACCGTTTATTTGGAGGTTTTTTTCCCTCTTGTGCCTTGATCTAAGGCTCTGAGATCAAATTTTTTTTTCCCTTGCCATATACATGATCTTTACAAAAGCAAAAAATTGCCTTTCTAGTTTAAGAACTAGAAGTATCGACTCCGTCCTATATATAATATCCATCCATCCCACATTTTTTCTTCTTTTTCTACATTTTCCTCACACTGTTCTCATTCAAATGCATCGACTTGATAATGGATAGCTGAAAAATCGAATCGACTGACCGAACCAAAGTCGGTCGATTGGTGATTAGTTTGGACCTACAAAAAATCGACCTAACTCGCACACCTCTAATTCTTCTTCTTCACGGCTGTTAGCCGCACATCTCTATTTCTCACTCATTTTTCTTCTTCCCCACGCACACCCCCTCTCTCTTTTTAGATACCTGTGTGTACATAAGGGTGAGACTTAGATTAAAATAAAAAACAAACACTTGTTTCACATACCCCTAATATTTTTGTGAACTCAGACAACTCAAGTTTTTGTTACTTTTGTTTTATGGGTTCATCAAGATTGAAGATATCAACGGTCAGAGCTAGAAATTTTCCTAAAAATGATAAATTTTCACTTTATATATAATCTTTTATTTCTAAAAACTAAAGGCCCCAAAAATCAATCTCACCATTTGAATTACATAAAAAGTAGCCCATCAAATTACACAAAATAGAAGGGCGGTTTCCAAAATTAAAAAGGGAGGTAATGCTTACCATGTCAAAACTACTTCCTTTTATTTGAGAGAGGTTGATTTTGTAGAAACCCTAACAATCTCTGATAGCATCTCCAATGCATCGAGAGTGGAATTTAACGGTTTGGAAGTTGAGACTCATTCAACAAGAATTTTCAAACCTAATTAGTTTAAGGAAAAAAAGATGAGTTTGGAGTAGGTAAGTTAACAAGAGAAATACTTGATCTCATTGCATCGAAGCTACGAAGTTGCTCTTTCAGCTTATGCAAGAGATCTGGAAATCAAACAACTCATGCAGTGATAAGAATGGCTGACGGAACGTAGTGTGGAAGGATATTGGATGGAAGGAGTTCTTGAAGCTATCTGTGAAGACTTTTTATTGGATATATCTTTCACTCCGAGAGAGTTTTCCTATGTGCCTTAGGTTCGGTTTATTATTTGTTTTCTGTAAAAAAACAAAAAACGAAAATGGGACAATTTAGAATGAAGATTTTACAATCTTACTCCCTTTAATTTAGAGCAGAGGTAAAGTTTTTTTTGCCTCTAAACATTAAAGGGGCGTTTTTATTGTAGATAAAATGAAAGTAGCCAACTTTAAATTTAGAGTTATTTTTTAGGAAAATTTTCCAAATTTACCATTTTTTTAATGCACATATCAACCATCTAATAAATCACTTAAAATTCACCAATTTCAATATAATTTTAATTTATTTCCTCCCTTTATAACTCCATCCATCTTGTAACAGACTAATATATATGAGAATTGTTTCAAAACAATTTTTCAATTAGAAATTAGATAAAAATCACAATACATATATATTATTTTAAATATTGATATGGATGAAATATCAAGATTTCACTTTTATAGAAATGTCAATTAAAATATCGCTGTTGATAGATATTTATTAAAAAAATTCACAATAAATATTTAAACTAATCCATAAACATTTCACCATTTTCAAATAAATTAAAATTTATCTGTATTAATATTACGTCTATATTAGTAATATTTCTTAAAATTTTACTCTGTATTCAGCGAAAATGTCAGATTCACCCCATGAAATGAAGATATGAAAATTAAAAACTCAATTTAAGAAAATTGGAAGTTACTTAAAAGTTAAAACTTGTCGAATGAAATCACACCTACCAAATTTATGGGGGCGCAATTTTTGGTAATAAAAGCCCTAGGTCATACGCTCAAGAACAGCAGTGGAATTTAGCTGTAATTCAGAAGTCCTCTCTTCAGACATTTCTTACAAATCACTGAAGGACACACGGGATCTTTGGTCACTTGTCGGAGTCGCTATCCAAATCCATCGACATTCGAACCAAAATCCAACATCCCAACTTCTTTTCCTCTTCCCTTTCTCCTTCTGCAACCTGTTCAATCATCGGAATATTGCCGGAAAAACTCTGCATTCCGTTTTGGATTGCCTGAATTACTGACACTTGCGGCTCTTTTCTGATTTCAAACGATCGTCTCCGTCGGAAACCCATGTCTCGGAATTTTGCCGGATTTTCGGTTTGTGGGTTTTCAGGTGTGTTTACTTCTGTTACTGGAGATGTGTGTTTTTTTTAAACCCTTTGTTCATTATGTACCTTCAAGTGTGTTGATCTTTCTGCTCTGGGTCACTTTCGTATTTATTGTATTGGTTTTTTAAACCCTTTTGAGGTTTTTGTTTTTTGTGGGTTCGATTTCGGAGTTGCGGTTCACGATCGTTGATTTTGTTTCTGGTCCAGCTAATTTGATATACTTTGACTTCTGTTAGATGATTTGCTTTGTAGTTTACCCAACYGATATCCTTCTTATTTTACGTYGTTTGTTTATGCCCTTTCCTTAAATGGGTATTTACTCCATGTATATTCTGTCAAGGTTTTTTATATTTATATCATCTATATCCTGTGTAGTTTTCCACYGAAACGTATGCGATAAACTTTCAAAGTTGAGTTTTTCAGGTTGCCTGTGACTTATGTTTGCTTGGATTTTTTGATCTCCCAGGTTTCATTTTCTTAAATGCTGCATTATATTGGAGATAACAAGGAAGAGGAAATGAAGATGAGGAACAAATACAGGAAATCAACCACTTTACGTTGCAATGCAGGGAGTAGATGTTTCATATCTGTGATAATAGGGAGTCTAGTGGGGTGTATTCTTATACTACATATATTTTCTCCTATAAGCCGCAAGGATGAGATAGTTCGGGGCATCGAACTTCAAACAAGTCACCACCTTCGCTTCCGTGAACTTGAAGAGGTAGATGAGGAAAACATTCAAATTCCCCCTCCAAGGGGTAAGAGATCCCCACGTGCAGCGAAGCGAAGACCAAAGAAAACAACCACGCTAATTGATGAATTTCTTGATGAAGATTCACAGATTAGACACAAGTTCTTTCCTGATCATAAAACTTCCGTTGATCCAATGAAAACAGGAAATGATAGTATGTACTATTATCCAGGGAGAGTTTGGCTGGATACTGAAGGGAATCCCATTCAAGCTCATGGAGGTGGAATTTTGTTCGATGAAAGATCTGAATCATACTATTGGTATGGAGAGTATAAAGATGGCCCCACCTACCACGCTCACAAAAAGGGAGCTGCACGGGTAAAAGCATCAATACTCTGCCTTTCTGACCTCCATTTTTTGTAATGTTAGRCTAGTCTAATGCTTCCATAAATAAATATAATTCCTATCACATAAACTGTTGGCATGCACCTATACAGATTTGTATGGAAACAACACAGTTTGATTAATACTGCATCCTGTTTTCTTCCATTTTCATTAGTAGCAATAGTTTATTCTTTATTACATGGACTTAAAAAATTTCAATTATTGCTTCGTGGTGGTTTTCTCTGACTTTATGTCTTTACCTTTTTAAATATAAAGCATCGGCTTGAGTGATCATAATATGTTGAATCCTTCTAGTTCATTTTTTACCTTATTCCACTCTCGATAAGAAATTCAGTCATCATTGCTGCATTACAATTAAATCGCTAGGTTCAAGTCCAACTTATGAATCTTATTAGCTTTTGAGATGGTGTGTGATTCTTGAGTGATAAGGTCTTGGAGGATGACTGAGGAAATTTTAAGGAATTGTATTAGTTTTTTCTGTTGCCACCTTGAAATTGGAACACTGAAGAAAAAGAAAAGAAAAGAAAAGAAATTAGTACACTGAAGAATGTCACAAAAACAGTAGAGAGAAAGGACACCAGAAAAATAAATTTGAGGCACTTTTCACCATTGCACCTACACAAACTGCCCGAGTAAGGGAAGAGGGGGGAATGTAAATTTCTACTCTGAATTCTATCATTCATGTTAGTACCAGTTAGCTTTATTTGGCATTTTTGYCCCCATATCATCCTACGAAGATCTCAGGAATGAAGGCTTAGTGGCTGAGATTTACTAGGAAAATTAACCTATTTCTTCAGGGACCAAATTCTGTAATCCAAGGACAAATGACGTACAAGAGAATGTAGTTTTTGTGAATTTTCAATCTTTTTATCCTGAAAGGGTCTGCCATAAGGACCATTGCTTTCTCAACTGCATTCCAGCAGTCCCCCACTCTTTTATGTTTGCTGGTGGCATCTCAAGTTGTGAAGTTTTAGAAACTGCACAAAAGCTTTCTTTATCTTTAAATAGTCTCTCCAGCCAAATGCTATCCTCACTTGAAATTGACATCGAGGTCCAGACCCGGAGGAAATGAACCTTAGATCAGGGTCTCTAGTATGAAACTTCTGAAAGTACCGGACATCTGTCTCAAGGTGCACCTCATTAGAAAAGATAATGCCTGTTTCTTTTTGCATGCTAGTGATGAGGCTTTTCTCTTGCTTGCAGAATAAATTTTATGGAAGAAGTTTGAATTTTTGCCTCCTCCTTCAAGCCATTGTTCGTTTAGTTTCTGTCCCCATCTAATGTCTTATTTTAACTCTAAAACTTCTAATGAGCATATAAGCTCGGTGCTTTTAACTGTATTGCCYGTATGAAAAAGTCTATAGATATAACATTTGTCCTAAGTAATGCATAAGTTTATATTCCTGAGGTTTGCATTTGCATTCTTTTCAATTAAAGTAGGACTGTAGAGCTTCCTGAATATACTATGTGACTGCATTAGCTTTGCTATATTCCCCCATGAGGATCAGAATAGAAAAGAATGATAGGGAGGGAAGAGAGCAAATTAAATGGGGAGTGGTAAAAAAGTACACGTGCTTATCAAAATTCTAAAACATAGTTGATGAGTGACCAATATATTAATATAAACAAAGGTTATCAAGATCTGAGGGTAAATTTGGCACCTTCAATTTTAGCATGATGCTGAGCTCTTTCTCTCTACGCTTATCAAATGGCCCTTGGAAATATATTCTCAAGCACCAAAATCTCATTTACTCGTCTCAATAGGTTAGTTCCTTTCCCGTTTCACTCCTTTTGGGGCATTGTATTGACCCTTTTGTACCTTTTTATTCTCTCACAAAAAACTTTTTCGATTGAAAAAGAAAAGACCTCCTTTACTCTAGAAGTCTAGAATAAAGGTGGCAGTGGCGTGCTTCAACACAGTCTTGGGAAGATCATTGGTTGAGCAATGCCCCCTTTTCAAAGGCGTTTCCAAGACATTATTCTTTATCCAACCGAAACCATCATCTAGAAGAAACGTCATTGGAAGATAAAATCTGAGTGGACGTCCCTCTGACAAATTCCCAACCAAATGACCTCATCCATTTCCATACAAAATGATATGGAGAGTTCACTGTGCGAAGAAAGTCAGAATTTTCGTATGGGAGCTTAGCCACAAGAGTCTAAACACCCATGACAAAGATCCAAAGGTTCCCCCCATGTGCTTTTGCCACTGTGGTGTACTCTTTGCAAGAAAGAATCAGAAATTGAAGACCATCTCTTTCTCAACTGCTCTTTTGCTCTGAAGTTTCTTGCTTTACACATTTTATTGGCATTTGACCCTCCCCAAGGCCCATTGACACAAACACCCTTCTCCTATGATTCTAGTGGGGCATCCCATAAAAAAGACAAGAAGGTTCTATGTTAGAGCCTTTTTCTGGACTTTTTGCCTTGAAAGAAACATTAAGAGCTTCAACAACAAAGAAAAAAAATACTTTGATTGGTTTGTTGAATCTTTTACCCTTTTTGCTCTTTCTTGGTGGAAACTTTGAGTGCATGCGTTAACACTCTTTTTGGCTAATTGAAAGAATTTTTTGTATCTCCCCTCGGCATGGTATTCAGCTTTCTTTCTCCTCTTTTATAATTTCATATCTTCAATGAAATTGTTTTGTCAGAAAGAAATAAAAATCTTAATATAATCTATAGTGATAGCCTAGGTAAGAATTAGAGTAATAGAATACTAAAGTTATAATACTTAGAAAGAATGATTCTCCTGAGGGATATAAATTCTGAATAATCTCAARTACAATCATGGTATATTGATCTTTTTTTTGAGAATATTACATCATAAATATGGGGTGGGAATTCGACTTTATGACCATTTAGGAGAGGTTGAGATGCTTTAATCATTGAGCTATCAATTAGGTGCCTATTGATCTTTTAAAGTGTAAATAAGTTTGAGAAATTCAAAAAACATTTGCGGTCAGTATCTTCAATCCCATCACATCATTGAACGTTTGGTCTGATAAGAATCAGACAAACTACTTGTAGAAGCTTTTTGCCATGGGATGAAAGTTTTTTCTGGAACTAAAATGTCGGAAAGATGTTTGGTGAATTCATTGGTCTAGAGGTTATTTGCTTATTTGATATCTTTTGTACTTCTTGGATATCTGTTTTGTATTATAACTAGATTGTTGATTTATCTTAAATGAAAAATGGGAAGATGATTCCACTGTTCTGAAGTAGGTTGTGGCCGAGCTCTCCCAATATTTATCCAAACTAACTCCCRTCTCTCTTGACTCACCTTACTTCTGTCTAATGGGATCAATTCTCCCTCTCCCTCTGCCGATAACTTTCCCTTTCTGTTGTCTGGACTCTGCACTGGTACCTCACCATGCCAACACTCAAGCTGTAAGTGCTGCTACACTGAGTGCAAACATTTTCCTGTTGATTTTGCCAGAAGTGGAAATAAAGTCAGACTTGAGAGAAACAACTTGAGCCTACATTTCTAGTACCAGTCTGGAACCTTGATCATTAAGAATTGCTCATCACCCCCTCCATCATCATACTCTTTACAAAAAAATCATAACAAATGACTGTTTCCTTTGGCTCCAAGAATCTAAGAGAAAGCATGATTTAGTTGTAAAAATGACAGATATTCAACAATAGAAGGAAGAGGAACCTCCTCATTCCCACCGGAAGTCACTTTCAAGGACGCAAAGATTTTCCCAACGGTCTTCAATTTCCAAACTTCCTTGTTTTCCACAGAAAATCTCAAGTCTCCCTTCTGATAAACAAGCAAATCAGATTTTGTATTATAAAGAAGTATTGGCTGGCTTGCCTGCTATCAGTTCTAAATCAAGCTTGACCTCACAGTTCTAAACCAACCTTTGTTGGAGGAGAACCATTGTTGTGACAAAAAGCAATACTCAGGATGATTGGAGCAAGATCGTAAATGATAGAGAATCCACCAACTCCATCTGCTCCTATTCCTTTTCAACCAGACAAAGTCCATTCTCCTATATCCTTGTGATTTTGAGGCTAAMATTACGTGCTACAACAGCTTGTGGTGTACGGCTATACCCTTTWCATTGGAGGTTGGAAAAGTGGAATAAGAAAATCCATAGCAAACATTCACCTGCACCCTTTTATGATAGATCGATAAGAATCCACAACCTTCCCCGAGTTAGTGGGCCACCAAGATTTTAAATCAGATTGGAGATAAATGTGGGAGCTTCATCGAATACTCCACTCAAACCGTTAAACCTTTTAGAATATATGGAAGCTTGTATTGAAGTTCAATGTAACTTTTATGGCTATATGCTGACTGAAATCAAGCTAAACAATGGAAAGAGAAGCTTTTCTGTCCATATCAGAAATCAGCGTGATCCACGATTTTATGCTTCTCATGTGTAAGGGTCTGATGTCTATGGCTGCATCTCTCCAGGTGGCAGTTGCAGGATTTTTTGGAGAAGGTGACTCGATTTACCCAATGGCCAAATAGAGGCTGCAAGACCCTTCCTTTTTTTTATCCTAGTTATTAGCCCTGGCCACTTATGCCCTTCCGAAGAAACGAACAAAGCCAAAAAGTTTAAACCTGTTAGTTTCCATAACGATCTGCTCTCCTCTCCTTTAATGTTCACCCATCTACTGAAATCTCCTTATGCGAACCAAATGCGTGTCCCACCTCCAACCAAAACGAAAATGATAACCTAATTCCTCTTCAAATTGCACATCTCCTTTTCAGAGCAAAACATTTCTTCAGGCTCCACCCTTAACCTAACCCAAAAGGACAACCAAAGCCCCGTTTGAAACTTAAGTACCTTTCTTACCCTATCTGCCGTGCCCCCTCTGCCTTTGTTCCTGAAGCAAACTCCAACAAGCCTCTAGGCCCCTCTTTAGACCCAAAGCTGGGCCTCTAAGCATGAGAGATTTACGTCAGGCCTGTCCCTTGCCGCTCTTGACCAATTTCGAACCTCAACTCTCGGCCTAAACCCAAGCAAAGAAGGGCTTTTGTTTGCTGAAGAGATTCGAACTCATACTTCCATTTGCAACCATGGGTCGAAGCCCAAGGGATACTGTCACTTACCCACCCTTCCTCTAGCCAACCAACAAAATAACTCCATTGCTGCATTCTTAAAACCCAAGCTACTCCTTTTGCTGCTGCCTGGGCCTTTCTAATCACCYAAGGGACATACCAGTTCCCGAAATGGAGCTGTCCAAGAAATGCAGCAAAAAGTGTGTGGCGAACTCATTTCTTGTAGCAACTATGAGAGAAGTTCACACTGATTTGCAACTTCCTGCATCCAGCATATTCCATACTGATTTAGTTTACAACAATAGTGGTTCAGCGTTGTGAGACAGAGTGAGCCATCGGATCTAACTGATTCTCAAGTTGACTCCATCTTGATTGCCAATGAGAATCTTTTTGGCATCCAAATTGGAAATTGTTTTCACTAGCTKCTTCAGTTCTACTTGGGTTATTGACAGTCCTTTGAGATACACCTTGTCTAGACTTCTCCAGATTTCTGGCCATAAACTTGCTAGGGTGGGTGATTGTTGGTCCATGAGAAGTAGATCCTGCTGGTTTCTTATCACCCGCATTTGCATCTCCTCTTGCATTTAAGCAAGTCTCAGTTTCGTATTTAAAAAAAAATGTAATATGTCAGTCAAAGATATGGTATTAGCACTTTTCCTTTGAATGTGATAATTGTTCTGAGGAGTTGGAAGGTTGTCAGAATAATTGATATTAAGTTGTACAACTTGAATAATTTGGAGCGTGACATTCTTATGATCTAATTATCTTATAACCATCAATTGTTTTGTTGTGACTTGCTTTGAGATTGGATATTTTGTAGTCCTATGCTATTACTAGCTTCAATACAATCACATTTTCTGTCGTCCTTTTGTCCATCATGTGAATCAGGTCCTTTGTTTTAATATTATTACCATTAACTTTTGCTGTCTTCTATTTCACTAACATAATGTATTCTCTACATGGACAACAAATTAGTATCCGAAACTCGACTAAAATATTTTWGTGTTCTTATGATTAGGTCGACATTATAGGAGTTGGTTGCTACTCCTCCAAAGACCTGTGGACATGGAAAAATGAAGGCATTGTTTTGACAGCGGTAGAAACAAATGAGACCCATGATCTTCACAAATCCAATGTACTCGAGAGGCCTAAAGTTATCTACAATTCGAGGACGGGAAAATACGTAATGTGGATGCATATAGACGATGCGAATTATACAAAAGCTTCCGTGGGTGTTGCCATCAGCGATTACCCCACCGGTCCATTCGATTATCTTTACAGCAAAAGACCCCATGGATTTGACAGCAGAGACATGACAATCTTTAAAGATGATGACGGTACAGCGTATCTCATTTACTCATCTGATGACAATAGTGAACTTCATATAGGGCCTCTCACAGAAGATTATCTCGACGTGACCAACGTCGTGAGAAGGATTTTCATTGGCTACCACCGGGAAGCGCCAGCTTTGTTCAAACACCAGGGAACTTACTATATGGTCACGTCGGGATGCACAGGATGGGCCCCGAATGAGGCACTGGCACACGCATCAGAGTCGATGTTGGGTCCATGGGAGACGATGGGAAATCCATGTATAGGAGGAAACAAGATGTTTCGACTAGCTACATTCTTTGCCCAGAGCACATTTGTTCTTCCCCTACCTTCACATCCTAGCTTGTTCATCTTCATGGCAGACCGATGGAACCCCGCAGATCTTAGAGACTCAAGATACGTTTGGTTGCCGTTGATGGTCGGAGGACTTGTCGATGAACCACTCGACTACAATTTCGGGTTCCCTTTGTGGCCAAGAGTGTCCATATATTGGCATAGAAAGTGGAGGCTTCCTCAGGGCAGGAGTCTGTCRAAATGACACATTTTCTTTGATCTCACCCTCAGATGTACCATACGAGAAAGATCTTTGGTTGATTCTTTCACAGTGTCCCATAGTTTTCCTTAACAATTGAATAATGTTTACTAGTTCATATTATAGGCACAGAATTTTCAATCCTTGAATGAATTTATACCCCTAATGGTTAATTAATAATGATGATATTAGGTTATAAATTTCAATCCTTGTCTTTCCTTTTTCTATTCATATGTTGAATCTTTTCTCAATTAAGTCCTCATAATTGTTACTCAACGTCAAAATTAATCGACAAAATATGAAAATACATTTTGTTAATTCAATTAAAAGTGAAGTACGACTTGAAGTCGAAGTCGTTTCTTGTTATAGAAAATTGATTTGTTGTATACGAAGTCGTTTCTTGTTATAGAAAATTGACTTGTATACTACTAATTGACAAATATGAGAAATACGGTTTCAAAATTCCTACATCGGTGTTCTTTTATTATTTAGTTATTGTAACGACTTAATTGAAATAAATTCAATACATAAGAGACGAAATTGAATCATTTAAAATATTAGAGACTAAATTGAAAATAAACTTTTGTTTAGCCTTTTGAATTCATACTACTAACAATAAAGAAACCGTATAAGATATTTTTGAAAATTTTTATTTATTCATTCGTTAAGTCTCTAGCTTAGTGGGTCGATTTTAACTTTAAATTTGAAGTTCCTAAAACTAAATCAGAAAATTACAAACCAACTAATAAATCCAATAAAATACAACATATTAACAAAACACTTAAGATCAAGCTAGGTAAATTAAAGTTAGAATTATACATCTTAGAGGCATCAATTTCAGCCTAGTTTAACTCGTTAATATATTTATCTCCATTGGAAGTTCGAATTCTCACTCTCACTTGTTATACTAAAAAAATTGTTCTTTTTTCTAAAAAATATCAACCTTGTAATTAATTCATCATATATTATGAAAAAAATATATGTAATTTGGTAAAAGAAAATAACTTTATATAAATTCAATTCACAATATCTTAAATTGGAAACCGTATCAACATATTTAATGAAAAAWTYYKRA